ACCCCAAACTAACAGGGTGAAATGACCCAGGGGAAGGAAATGAAGCCGCTTATGGTTAGGAGGGAATGTGGGCCCTGTTTTAAACTTTTCAAGAGAGGCCAGAAATCTGTATTTCCCTTAACGTGGAATTTCCCTGTGCCAACGAAGGAAACAGCAGCTCGCCACGTCTGAGTTGACCTTCACCTGTCCCACGCCCAGAGAGGGAAAGACTGCAAAGGAAGAGGAAGGTTTTGCCTCTCTTATCCACCTAGAAGCACAAGCTGTCTTTGCAGAAGGCCCCTGAGTTACATCTGTTCTGGTCATTTTATAGAAGGCTCAGAAAGGGTACTTGTCCTGGGCTGCACAGCAAGTTAGGCAGAGGAACCAGGATTCGGTAAGTCGGCTGGCTCTTTTCTCCTGCACGCTGCTATGGAGGAGGCCCACGGAGCCAGGAAGGGCCTGTGGTGGCATCTGCCTTCCAGGCGGGCACTGCCTCTGCGTCTTTGCAAAGGCCTTTAGAAGTCCCTAGACCAACCCTGTGGTCCCCCCAATCCCAAGACGAGGAAGGCCTCTTTTCTTCCCTTCCACTTTCTTTAAAGCCACCAGCACAAGGCACCTGGGTGGCTCAGTGGGTTAAGCGTCCGGCTTCGGCTCGGGTCATGATCTCACGGTGCGTGAGTTCGAGTCCCGCATCGGGCTCCGTGCTGATAGCTCGGAGCCTGGAAGCCTGCTTCGGACTCTGTGTCTTCCTCTCTCTCTGACCCTCCCCCGTTCATGCTCTGTCTCTCTCAAAAACGAATGAACATTAAAAAAAAAAAAAAAAAAAAAAAAAGAAAGCCACCAGCACATCCTCAGAACTGCCCCCACCCACAGTTATCCCTTTAGTCAACCTATCCTCCAACCCCATCTCAGGTTAAAGCCCCCAGGGAGGCTCAGAGAGGGGAGAGCCAACAAATTCCAGCCGTCCGAATTCTCCTTAGCTGGCCAGGGCAATGGCCTTTACATTTAGCTCTAGCGCCGGCTCGGGGGGCCGAGACAGCGAGCATTGTTCCATTTTCCAGATGGGGCTGTTGAGGCCCAGAGGAGCCAGAGAACTGAAGTCAGGCAGGAGAGTCCGAGCCACGTCTCCTGAAACCCCTGGGGCCTCTGTGCCCCACTGAGACAGGCTGCGTGTGTCCAGTTCCGTTCTCCAGATGAGGACACAGGAGAGAGGGTGCAGTAAAGGCGTGAAGGGAGTGAGGTGTCTTTCTGGCCCCCGATGGCTGGCAGGGGTTTCTCTTTCTGGAGGCCGGCTGCCTGCTGGGGAAGCTGACCCTGAGGCCCAAGAGCAGCCCCCGGCCCGGAGCCGCTGGGACCCCTTCCCGCCCCGTACCTTGTAGCTGCCCCCAAGGCCGCCGTGGCTCTTGCCCGCTGCAGCTTGCTCGGGTGCGCCATGCTGTTCCGCCATCTCGCCAGGAACGCGTCTGGCTCCAAGCAGAGGAAAGTGAGTCACGGGGTGCACCGGGACGAACGAGGTACGGATGAGATTGAGGTCGAAGGTGAGCTACAGAACCTTTTGCTGCTTTGGGGGACGTGGTCGTGACTCACAGCACTGGGTCATTCAGTCATTCGACAAACATTCACTGAGCACCTCTCATGGGTCACAGGACTGGGCCTGGCCCCAAAGCGCGTCCCCCTCCCCCCTCCCCAACTACTCCCCAAAACAGGGTTCTTCAAGCTCTGTGTAGGCGCACCACCTCCGGACCCTGGCCAGAGGGTGGGCTTCCGCAGGGTTTCTCTACAGGGATCTCTCCCACCTCCACACTCTGGGCTACGGTCTTCTGTTCACTCGTTACTCTGTTCACCCAAGATTCCAGGAGCACCTGCTCAGTGCCTGGCCTGGGGCCGGGTAACCCGGATGAACGGCAGACTACAGACTGGTGGGAGATGGGCAGACAGACAGACAGATATCCAGAGAATGCACGATGCAGGACCAGATCCCGGGACACCTGCTCTGGCCCGGTTTCCAGACGTTTGGTGATTTATTCCATATGCACTTATGGAGCACTTACTGTGTACCAGCCACTTAAAGACACAGACACAGACAGACCGTTCCCTGCATCCCTGTGGGGACCGTGACACAAAACACAGGCCCCACAGTAGTCACGTGGGAGGATTCTCATGATTGTCCTGCGACACACACACGGGACTGTTCTCCAGTTTATCAGCACACACACATGCATGCAACTTGCACACACATAAGCTCCCGTGGTCCTTGTACACAGTCACATGACACCCACTGTACACGACGGCCCCCCCCCACCTGTCACACACACACACACCGTGCCCATCTCAGACATCCGCAGTGGTCCACAAGGCACACACATCTACACCCCGCGCCTGACTGTCCCCCACCATGGCCCCAGCGCCCCCACTGCTGGCGGGTGCAGCTGCGGAGCCCATATGCTCTGGACACAGGCCCAGGGATGCATATCCTACAGGATGCTTGTCCTGTCTATGCCTGGCCTCAGCAGGTCACGGGGCCTGGCCCAGCTCAGGGAGGACCCTCAGGGTCCTTGGCAGCCCCCAATTTGTTCACCCCCCTTCCTCAGCTGCGCTTAGGAGGAAGCCTAAGCACATGCCCGGGGACTCTTCCCTGGCCACCTCCCTCTGATATCAGTTGGGCTTGGTGGCTGGATCGGCTCCTCCCTCTTGGCTCCAGCCTTTAAGTGAATCCCCGGTTTGTGCAGGGGCCAGCCGTGCATGCCCCAGGGAGATCCCCAAAGGTCTGGGCCTGCCAGGGCAGCTCTCGCCTCCCCTCCCCTGCCCATCCCAGAATGAACCTGCTGCTGTAGCCTCAGGAAGAACAGAGGGGCCAGCACCGTCTGCAGACTCAGTCTGCCTTTGCTCGGAGCGTCCTATTTATGGGCGCTTTTCGACAACCCAGCACATCCCAGCCTGCTGAGGCAGCGCCCCGTCCACCCGATTCCGTTCGGGCCATTTCACTCCAATAGTGGGCCCAGGGAGGCCCCAGTGCTTGTGTCCTCCACCATGGCCCCTGATGGCTTCCTGGGGGCAGACGGACCTCATCAGCTTTGTTGGAAGCCTGACAGCGCCGACGGGCGGGCATCGGGGTGTAAAGCTCTCCAGTGCCCCCCAACTCCCTTTCTTTGGCTTCCTGGAGCTACCACCTTCCTAATCCGCTAAGTGACATTTTGGGAATGGTACCAGTTCTTAAAGCGAGGGGCCCTGGAATCAATTTTCCCATGTGCCATTATGGCCTAAATTTTAAGTCAGGTCATCCTAAACATAACCCCCAAATTGGGTGTCCACGGGATGCTGTAACAGACCCAACAAAAATTTATTTTCTTCATATAGAGGCATATATGGCTAACAGCTACCATTTATTGAAGATCTACTATGTGCAAGGCTATGTGCCAACTTCATGAACATTATGTTTAATCTTCACCCAGCCTGCCTGCTTTTTTCCTTCCTTTCCTTCCTTCTTTCCTTCCTCCCTTCCTTCTTTCCTTCCTTCCTTCCTTCCTTCTTTGAGAGAGGGGCAGAGGGAGAGAGAGAATCTTAAGCAGGTTCCCTGCTTGACACAGAGCCCGATATGAGGCTTGATCCCACAGCCCTGGGATCATGACCTGAGCCGAAATCAAGAGTCAGATGCTTAACCAACTGACCCCCCCCCCAGGTGCACCCCCCCCACCCAGCCCTCTTTAGGGAAGGAATTACGATCCCCACTTTATAGATGATTCAGAAACTAAGTTCAGAGAGGTGAAGTCACTTCCCAGAAGCACACAGCAGAGAGGTGGAGAGGCTGGCTTGACCCAGGGCCCAGATCTTAGCCTCAATAGAAATAAAGGCAGTCATGATTGTTACCTTATTTATGATCCCCAAAAAAGCCCCCCAAAACAAACAAAAAAATGAAACAAAAAACAAAACCCAAAGAGAAAAACAGAAGCCAAAAACAAATCCAAACCAAAACCCTAGGCCCATACATTTTTAAAGTATGATTAATGATGGTTGGGAGACTAAAATGAGGAGAGGGCCAAGGAGTGAATTGTCAGGAAACAGGGGTTGGTTTTGTTATTTTTGGCTAAAATCCTCAAGTTAGCCTAGAGCCCAGTGACCCCGCGTCTCTGGAGATGGTGATGGAATGCTGGGTGGCAGCTGCAGCTGGCCTCTGGAAGCAGGTGACCTCGGGGGCGCTGCTGGAGGTCAGAGCCACATCTGCAAATGGACAGCCACGGAGAGATCATGAAGCAAAACACTCAGACTGGGGCTTTCCTGCTTCTGTCCGTGGAGGATCCTTCTGGGCAGTTCAAACCAAGGGACTACTTCCTGCTGGCCATCGTGGGACCCAGAGCCGGTTTTGCCCCCTTAACTTGGGATGCAGTCACCACCTGCTAGGGATCTAGGGGGGAAGGTCTAAGGGGGATCTGGTGTGACTTCCTCCCATCCGATCCTTTAGGATCTCTGGATCCTAAAAGGACCTACTGTGTGGCCCAACACTTTCACATGCCACGTTTCCTCCGCCTAAAGTTTCTCAGTATCGGGACTATTGCCATCGGAGGCCAGTTGATTCTTGGTGGTGGGGGGAGCCGTCCTGTGCCCTGTGAGATATTGATCTGCACCCCTGGCCTCTACCCATTAGATGCTAGAAGCACCTCCCGTCCCTCTTTGTAATAACCAAGAATGTCCCCTGTCTTTGCCAGGTGTCATCTGGGGGCCACTATCCACCCAGTTGAGGACCACTGGCTTAAACTCTTGCCCGCTACTGCCGCTATCAGCACTCCCACAGCCGGGAGGAGGCAGAATGAGGATTCAACCCCACGTTGAATGGAAATCCTGCTTTGTCTCCACGGGTCCCCTTTCCCAGGACCTCAGCTCCCCCCCTTCCTGCCGGTGGCCCCCAGCTCAGCACAGACAACAGACCGACTCAGCTGGTGCATGCATGGGAGAGTCCATTCATCCGCACACTGACACACGGAGTTCTCCAGTGCAACTTGCATCGACACTGACACACGGAGTTCTCCAGTGCAACTTGCATCGAAGCTTTATTTGCTATTTTCATAGTCTGAATGCAACATCTTTGTACATGCAAAGGTCATCGTGTTTAATGGCAGCTGGCCAGATTCCCAACTGCTCTTCTGTGCGTATGAAACCTCTTTACAGTTACAAAATATAAAAGCACTTGTAGATATCCAATACTCTGTGAGGTCCAGGAAGCCCCCATTTGTTTTAACGTTAAAAATATAAGTTTTTCTAGATGAATTCTCAGTCACGCGATTAGAGACTCTTTTTGGGATTGGATAAAGTACCTGTCGTCCACCTTCTGTTCAGAACCCCTAGAGCTTGTGAATTCATAAGGCAATTGCAGGAACACCAGCAGGCCGGTTTAACTTACCTATACACAGGACTGGAGTTTCTTTCCTACCGTGACTCAAATATCTCAGGAAGGGACCCAGAAGAAAGGCTAGGAAAATATATAGCGGATTTATATATATTTCCACTCCCTCCATCTTACAAAGTGTTTTGAGGATCAGATCCATCGGGGAAGTACATCGTTTCTAGGATATTAGTATGATTTAGGAAACAGCACAGTACAAAATTACCTTCCATAACACAATATATTATTTTTGAGCCCCCTATTTACAGAATCTATAAGGCTATGTGAAATGAGACCAGTAAAAAGCTCAAATTGTTCTTTAGACAACAGCATTTTTTTTTTTTTTGTAGGCGTGACACCACTGGAGATTGTCAAAAAAAGGGGCCAGTCGGATTCATAGAGGGAGATGTCCCGGCACCAGGTTGGACAGTGACTAAGAAGATTCGGGGAGAAGCCGATTGATTTTAAGGGTTAGCGCTCCAGGAACCTGAGGCTGAGTCTGCAGAACCCAGATTTCTGCACCCCTCCCCACAGGAATCAACCCAAACAAAAGAAAGCAAATTCTAGACGGGTGGGATGGTGGGAACCAAAGGACAGAGGGTGGCGAACACCTGTCACACTCGCATACTGACTGGCTTTCTATGTGGCCCTACATTTCCAGAACCTCGGCTTGCCCAGAATCCCAGCGGGGTTGACTCATAGCACAGCAGAGCCCGGAACCGTGGCTTTCTAGGTGGGTGTAACCCAAGGTGGGCTGCCTTCCACATGTGGAGTGGGTCCTACCTGTTCCAGGTGGCTCCCTCCAGGTCAGTGCTGTCCCTCCCACCCCACCGAAGACACAGTTTTGCTTCCATGTTTAATACATGGCGGTGGAAGAAAGGCACAATTGAGGCTGTAGGTTTCTCCATTACGGTGGTGACTTTGCCACGGCGTGAATTAAGGGGGGAGGGTATCCCCCATTGGACAGAGATCTTCTCCTGCCTCTACTTCTCCCCTCAGGCTCACCCTGAAATTCTAGGGACAGGAACCTAGCTTCCTGTGTTAAGGGACAGGATTATGGGGCAGGGAGAAACACAAGGATTGAGGGGGAAGAAACAGAAACTGATGAGGGAGAGACAGGCCTGCCAGCATTCTCCTTGGGAGGGACACTGTCTTTTGTGCAGGCCCGAGTCACCTGTGAGAAAGTGTTTAGTTTGGGAGGCGATCTGGCCATGTCCCTGTGGGTTTTCAGCTTTGTGATTATGCCTAGCTCCTGGGGCAATCTGGGGGTGTGACAAAGACATGTACAAGCATAAATGGACGAGGCAGTTCACAGCACCGGGTGGGAGCAGCTGAGCTCTCCTGTGGGGAAAGCACATCAAGGGCTTCCCCCCAATCCCTTGCGCAGCCCCTAAACTCTGGGACCTCAGGCCTGTGCCTGTTTCTATCCTGGCTCCTTAGCAATGCCTAGAGTTGGCCTCACTTCCCAGGACACACAAAGGGAAACACATTTGTCTCACAACAGATGACTTGGCTTGTCCCCCTGGAAAAACTCCCCATCTCATTGTCCTTTTCCTGAATCCTGGACAACCTGAGGCTGTCGGGTCAGTGTCCTTCAAAACCCCCAACATCGAAACAACGCAAGCCTTTGAGTTCACCAGAATTTGTCTGATGGCACCAAGGAATTCCCCACAACACTGATTTTTGAGGTCTCACCATGGGATTTCACAAGCCAAAGGCCTCTGTTTCATTAGGCAAAAGACCATGAAGAAGGGGACCCACTGGAGGGGAAAAACACACAGACTTGATCAAAAGACCAGCCATCAAAATGCTGACGTGCAAAGGGGGTGTGTGTGTGTGTGTGTGTGTGTAGACAGAGGGAGAGACTGTGCGTACATAGGGTTTTGTGTTCAGTAGAAGGCTCTCATTTAAGGAGAGCCAAAGGCCCCCAGGAAGGCGGTTGGATGAGGGCAGGTGACTTGATTGCATACAAATGGTTAAGGCATATTAAGTTAGTTTTAGAAGACACAGATATCCAAAGGTGGCCCAGGCAAACTCAAGAAACTAGCATACAACTGTCCACTGAGCGCCAGAGCTCACTCAGTTTAGAAAGAGGAGAAAACCAATGACACACGTGCCCAGCTATCCGCAAAAGTTCCAAAGCATCAGTCACTTCTAACATCATTGCGCTGGTCATAGTGGGATCCAGAGCTCATGGGGAGCCTGCAGGGAGACGGTGGCTCCTGACCCCCTGTGATGGTCGTTTGTACAGTGGAGAGGTGAGGCTGCTCTAGTCACTTTCAGGGGGGGCGGACTTTGTACATCCTAATCACGAAGGAATTAAATGGATTCTTATTTCCAATCAAGGTGTGGGAGGATAGGCAAAAGATCTCCAGATTAATCTCACGTTCAAGTGTTCTTCTTTCCTGTTGGATATACTGGGCTACAACAGAACTGAACCTTGGAAAGTTCTGCATGGGTGAGTATCAATATTCTCATTGAACTGAGCAGGTAAATTCCTACTGTCCAAAATGGCATCAAGGGACCCTTCCCGCCTGAAGGAAAGACAGACAGGAGCCAGGAAGAGTCAGGGTCAGAACATGCGGAGTGTCTTTAAAGGGGATCTATTGACCTGGAAAGCCATTGCATCAAAACTGTTCTAAAACATTAAGTGGATCTAAAAAAAAATTTAAAAAAAAAAAAGGAAAGGAAAGGGAAAGTGAAAGGGGAAAGGGGAAAGGAAAATCACAAAGCAGCAGTTCCTAGATGCATCCCACCCAATGCCCCAGAGAACTGATTGACCACTAACTTGGGGAATGAAAGGAATTCAAATTATTACCAAGCAGGGCCAAACCTCTAGACACAGATGCAATGAGGCTTCCAGATGCAAAAGGTTGGGTGGGTAACATGGTTCAACAACTGCCCGTAAGTAGCCAAAGTTCAGCCAAAAGGACTGGCAGGGGAAAGGGGGGTGGGGCTTCGGTCCCTGTCCGTGGTGCTGAACCACAACTGCCCTCCGGGGCCCAGATGTTTGGCTTAACCTGAAGAAACAGGATTGCTCTTCACCCCCCACACCCACCCCCCAAGAGAAGGAAGAGATGGTAAAGGGTGAGGGAGGAAGAAGAGATGGGGAGACACATGGAGACCCCTGGAGACATGGCCAGGGGGAAGGATGGTATGGTATGTTTTGACACCCTTTGCAAATAATGGATTTATCAAGAAAGATTTTCACATCTTGGGAAGTCAGGGGGTGGGCGTACATGTGCTCAATCCCCATATATAGCCTTCCATATGTAGCCTTAGGAAACTCAGCCCTGGCACCCCTCAGCGGTCACAGGGTGCCCTGTGAACGGCCCAGGCAAGGTTGGCACAAAGTTTATGGCGACTGCAGGCATGGCAGGTGGCCAGTCAAGCATATCTGGGATGTTTGCGGGAGCCTTGGGTTTCAGAGGTGGAGGAGGCTGGTGTTGAGAATCTCCAAAAAGAATGATGATCCCCAGAGGTCCTGGAGATTCCTGGGAGTGAGCTTAGTGCTATCAAGAAAAAAAAAAAAAAAAAAAAAAGAGGCAAGGTGAACCTTATACTTTGTCACCTAGCATCCAGCACTTTTGTCCAGAGAAGAGTTTCAGCAAGACCCTTACTTCCTGCGTTTGGACCTAAAATAAGCACTTGGTCAGGTGGAGTTGGCAGGGGACGGAGGAGTGGTAGAAGGAAGAGGTGAAAAGAAAAAAAAAGAACCCCCCATTCATGCATTTGTTCAAAGACCTATTTGGAAACGTTCTTCCATGCCGGCAGTGCGGGTGATGTTCAAAAACGACTGGAGATAAAGATTCTCAGGGCAGGTCTGATGTTTGAGTGAAAAGGCACTGCCATTAGGGCTGCAATTTATGAACATTTGAGGCCAAGGGACAAAGGCCACACCATAGAAATCAGAGCTCAGATGGAAAGGAGCCAAGAAGATTGGTATACAAGGGTGACAATTAGAATTTGTTTTAAAAGCATCGGGTAGGGATGAGATAACCTGAGATGATCCAATATGTCAAGCAAACTCTTCACATATCTTTCCTTCTGCTCTTTAACATAAAAAAACATATGTACATATCTAATTTCAAAGAAAATTGGCTGAATTATTGCTTTAACGTCTTCTAAAGCAAACAAAAAAGACGTATAATGAGACAGGTCAACTATGCACACAGCCCCACTGAAAGGATTAATACACTGCAAAGCCGTGTGTGTTTAAAAAATTGGAACTGCTGATTCTTTGAGAGGGAGGGAGACAGAACTTGCCAAAAAAGCAATCAAAACCCCAACCCTGTAACACTGCCGTGGACGACAGTTACAGCAGGAAACGGATGGTTTCTTCTTCCTTGGAAATATGCTCTTGAAAGAGACCTGCCCTGGGGTTGGAGGACGAAGTGCTTTCACAATACAGGTGTTTTTCCAGAACCCAGGGAGATGGTCCAGCCTCAAACCCATGTTCCTGGAGTGGTGTCTAAAAGTAGGTAGAAATGCACATTTTTATGGAAAACACAAAACCACCAACGTGGACAATTCTGGGCAGCCTGGCTTCGTTCTCAGCCTGAAGTGCTGTCTGGGGAGACGTGCAACTGCTTGAGGAGGGTGGGTCTTGCCGCCCTGATCCGGGGTGAGCTTGCGGAGGGCCAGGAGGCCCCAGCCGGTGTTCTCCACCCAACTGCAAGGGCCCAGGCAGGTAACCATGTGCAGGAACGAATGGCAGCAGCGTGGCCTCGTCTTCAGGTTCTGACAGTTAAGGCTTCTGTTCATTAGACGTGGCAGTGTCCCGTCTGGAGAGGAAGAGACAGTCCTGACGTCAGCAAGGGGAACATGTGACCCTATGTGTCTCTGCCATTAAGCCTTAAAACCTTTTCTGGGTATTCTCCAAGACGGCCATCCCCACAAGCCATAGGTTAGGAAAGATGAGTTTGGGGTTTTGTTTTGTTTTGTTTTGTTTTGTTTTTTGGAGGAGTGGGGTGAGAAAGGTGGCCGGTGGTCAGATGCAGTGGAACAAATGTGAAATTTAGGGTCAGGTCAGGGTTCCAGCCTCAGTTTCCTCATATGGATTTCTATGAGTTTAACTGAGATATCACATGTATAGCCCTAAACACAAAATAAACACGGGCTCTGATTCCTTATCTAAAACTGAGCACAGATTTAGATGGGAATTTAGAATTGCGGGGGGGGACATTTATTATATAAACGTATATACATGCATATATGTATTATGTAACATACATATATATTATGCAAAGCCCTATCACACCTGCAGTGTAATGTAAAGACATCCATGCAGGTCAGGTTTGCCTCTAAGTAGGTCATGAAAATGCTTCATTGTCGGTGTCTTCTTGATTTGAGGTTTGTGCGTAAGGGGCTGGAGGGTCTCCTGTGCTGCTCATGTCAGAGCAGACTTTTAGGGAGCATGAACCACATGCTCCTACCCCTAGGACTAACCACCGGCACTTTAGCGCATCTTTACTGAGCCCTGGGGACCGCTTGGCAACATGGACGCGATTAGCCCATTTTACAGATGGGGAAACTGAAGTTCGAGATCTGAAGTCATTTGGGACCTGCACTGGGGCATATCGAATCATCTGACTTTTTTAATCTTTTTTTTTCCAAATTAATTTTTAATTATGCAGGCTGTATATGAATGCAAAAACTGGGGACATTTTGGATTAAGCTAATCTCGGATGTCTCACCATTCCACTTTATGAAAGCATTTGGAGAAGAGCCTAGCCAAGTGCATGAGCCCAGAGCCCAGGTTTATCTGGCTCTTCCCCTAGGCTGTCCACCTGGGTTTTTTCCCCTAAGAGGAAACAGGTCACCACAGCCCTCTTTATACGAGCCCGGAACACCCGCACCCATTTCCCCTTTTCTCTCCTAGGGTCCAAAAGTCTCCAACCCTTTGCCTTCTGGCCTAGGTTCCTGACTCTGCAGACTGCAGGCTCTGTCCACGTTCCCCCACTGCGCCCCTTCATACCTGCTCAAGCTTGGTTCTCATACAGGCTTTGCCTCTTCTTTGATTTCAGCTCCTTTAACCACTGGGGAGAGGGCTCTTCCGACCTGAAACCACAAAGCCAGTGAGAGTCAAGCGTGAGCCAGACTGAGGACTCCCTGCAGGCGGGGCTATGCAGTACCAGACTCCAAACCCTCTGTGCCGAGGCGCCGCTGAGCTGGGCATTCGCAGGTAGGAAAGGTGCCCGTGTTAACGTGACTGATGAGCAAGAAACGGGAATCAAAGTGCCCAACAACGAGGAACATTAAATAAATCGTGGTATGCCCATTCTATGAAATAATCTGCAGCTGTGAAGTCATTTGACACAGAATTATTTCCATCCATCAATCCATTTGTCACCCAGGCGTGTCTCCATCCTTCTAGCTCTCCACCCATGGAAATGCCCATGATGGTTATTTGTATGTGCCAATGTGGCTAGGCCACAGTACCTAGGTATTTGATTAAACATTATTCTAGATGGTTCTGTGAAGGTATTTTCTAAAAAGAAATTAGTATTGGGATGGATGCCTGGGTGGCTCGGTCGGTTGAGCGTCTGACTTCGACTCAGGTCATGATCTCACGGTTCTTGGGTTCGAGCTCCGCATCGGGCTCTGTGCTGACTGCTTGCTCAGAGCCTGGAGCCTGCTTTGGATTCTGTGTCTCCTCTCTCTGCCCGTCCCCCGCTCACATTTTGTCTCTGTTTCTCAAAAATAAATAAATGTAAAAAAAAATTTTTTTTTAAAGAAATTAGTATTTAAAAAAAAAAATTGGTAGACCTTGAGTAAAGCAGATTACTCTCCATGTTATGGGTGGGCCTCATCTAATCAGTTGAAGACCTTAATAGACAAAGACTGAGCTCCCCACAATTCTGATAACAGACTGCTTTGGGGACTCAAACTACAACATTGGTTCTTCCCTGAGTCTCTAGCCTACTGGCCTGCCCTATGGATTTGGAAGTTGCCAGCATCCACAATCGTGTGAGCCAGTTCCTTAAAATAAGTATCAATCTCTCTCCCTCTCCCTCTCCCTCCTTCTCTTTCCCCCTCTCTCTCTCCCTTGCTCTCTACCTTTCCCATCCCCCGCCCTCTTCCTCTCCCTCTCTCTCCCTGTCTCTTCCTACTCTGTATGTGCATGTGTATATATACATCCAACTGGTTCTATTTCTTTGGAAGACACTGACTAATATGTCGCCCGTATGACACAGATAGATGCCTTATGTTTACCAAATGGTAACAAATGATTGTTTGGAAGAGGTCAAGATTTGTTTTAATTTTTTTTTTTTTAAGAACACACACCCAGAAAAGTACTCAAACCACAAGTGCACAGGTCGACACATCTCTCTAAGTGAAGACATTTGAGCAGCTGCCGTCTCAATGGTGACACTTCTGAGTATTTTATTGTTTACTTTCTTCACGTACTTTGCTGTGTCCTCCGAACTGCTTGTAATGAGAACGTACCATTTTAACAAAAACAATAAAGTCATCATCGTTTGAAATTTTATTCAAGAAAAAGATCGTTTTTATGAAGATTGTCTAATGGCCTTGGGAAAACGGTCACATGAAACACATTAACGGGAAAATGAGCTACGTACACACACGTCATCTCAATTACATTTAAAATTACATTCAAATGGAAGGAGAGAGACCCCAGCATCACACTGGTGGTCTTGGGGGGGAGGCGCGAATCATGGGTGATTTTGTTTTCTGTTTTATATTCTTTTTATATTTTCCAAAATTTCTATGGTGGGCATATACACTACTTTTATAATTCAAACACAAGTACTCGCGAGACCTGATCTACGCTGTTCTCAGGGAGAGTCCCTGACCCCATGGCCCCGGAGGGCTCGGGGAACTTGGTGACCCAGAAAGAGGGATGGGGGGGTCTACGAAGAAGGAGAGGTCCCCTGGGCAGACAGGGCTCCGGGCCACCCCAGGCAAGCCTTGCCTGATGGCGGAGGCACAAGACCCGGCCTCCAGAGCTGCCTCTGAGACCCTGGTCTGGTCTGGGGGCTCCTCCAGCCCCAGAGAAATGCTAGAACCTTCTGCTGACTCCAGAGCGATTCTCGTGTCCCCAGGGCATGAGAGGCACCATCTCAGCTGTGGCCTGTTTCTCTCTCAACCTCTTGTCTTTTGCTTCCCACAGCCCACCCTGTGCTCTAATAATAGGCCCTGCCCACAGCTCCCCGTAATATCGTGCCTCGAGGCCTTTGCACGTGCTGTGCCTTCAGCCTGGGGCCCCCCTCACGCTGCCTTCTCTTTGTCCATCGTGACTCGGCTCAGGCTACCTCTTCTCTTGGAAGCCTTTTTCTGCACTTTCCTTCCCCAAGTCTGGGTTATGAGTCCTTCCTCTAGCACGGGGGTCCGATAGAGAGCCAGAGAGTAAGTCATTTTGACTTTGTGGGTCAGGAGGTATGTGTTATGACTAGTCAGCCCTGCAGCCTGTAACAGGAGAGCAGCCGTGGACAATACACAGAGAATAGGTGTGGCTGTGTGCCAATAAAGCTTTATTTGCAAAAAGAGACCGTGGGCGGAATTTGGCCCGTGGACTACAGCTTGCCAACCCCTGCTCTCTCACAGCACTTACGACATTACAGTCCTAGCAGGAACAACCCCTAACTTTTATGTGCTAACTCGTGACGAGAATCCCACTATCCTTTCCTGAGCACGTGCAGAAGGGCTCTGCACACCCTTCCCCAGTTCATCCTCATGACCGCCCTGGAAGGTCAGGGGGGGTTGAGTCAACCCATTTTGCGGATGAGGAGACTGAGGTTCAGAGAGGCCCAGGGACTCTCCCAGGCCACGCAGCTCTCAAGCTGCACCTCTGGGATGAAGCCCGGTTGTGTGATGTGTGTGACCTGAGCGCCCTTAAAGCGTGCTCTGTAACCTCCACCCCCAGCTGCTGAAGCGCCTGGTCTGGGAGCCCCCTGGGTGGGGGAGGGGGCAGGTGCCGTGCTGGGCTCGTCTCTGTGTCGTGCTGGCCCAGCCTGGGATGGGGGCAGTGACGCGACGCAGGGCAGCTGAATTAAGCTGTCTTGCTCAGCCTGGCTGTGCCCTACCATCCATCTTCCAGGGTCTCCCTGATTCTCCTGAGACGAAGGCCCTTCCCTGGAGGGTAAGAGGAGGGAGGATGCCTCCGTTTCCCCATCGGTCTGGAGAAGGCTGGGCTAGCTCAGTAGTCTTCCCACAACAGAGCCTTGGACTTCCATGGGGGACAGAGTGAGGCCAGCTGCCTTGATTCCTGGTCCTCTACCCCCACCTCCGTGTGTTTTTATTTTTATTTATTTAAGTGTTTATTTATTTACTTTTGAGAAAGCGAGAGAGAGACAGCGAGTGGAGGAGGGGCAGAGAGAGAGGGAGAGAGAGAATCCACAGCAGGCTCTGAGCGGTCAGCACAGAGCCCGACGTGGGGCTCAAACCCACGAACTGTGAGATCATGACCTGAGCTGAAACCACGAGTTGGACGCTTAACCAACCGAGCCACCCAGGTGCCCCACCTCAGTGTGTTTTCAGACATCAGGCTGCTGAGAGTTCCAGTGATCAAAGTTCTGCTTCTAAAGGGAGAAAACAGTTGAAACTCTCTTTCTGTTCTGTTTTAAGCACCCCCCAGAAGTGCATCCTGAGTCTGGGGTTGGGGGGGCCTCATCCGCAGGACCCCTCACCTGTCGTCCTTCTCCATGCTGGAGGGCAACACACGACTGCCCAGTTGGAAGGGGGACTTGGGGGTCTTGGGCTGGGGCGTCCAGCCTGGGGTCTCGCCGGGACTGTCTGCCTCTGGCCTCTTGTGCAGCTGAGCCTGGGGAGAAAGAGCCGAGTCTGTAACTGCCTCTGGTCTGGGAAAGGGTCCCATCTGATGGCATCATCGCTGCACGGTGACAACAGGGCCCCCCAGCATCTGAACTGGACCCAGGCAGGAAACACAGCCTGACCTCGGAGGCTAAGAGAAACTGGAGGCCAGGCCTGTGGTCCATGCGGCCACCCTTGACCACTAGGATCAAAGGACCACCATCAAAACCCCACACAATCATGTTGTCTTTGATGGAAAAGTCACCATTTGCATGTTCTCAGGTCAGGACGTTCTATCTCCTTTAACTTCCCGAGAACCTGGCCATGGAGGTAATGGCCTCATCCTGCAGAGGACGTTCAGCTCTGCCAAGCTCCTTGGTCCTGTGTCCACATGAATAAAATGAGGCTTTTTCACCATCGGATTCCCGCAGGAAAAAAGCAGGGTGCATTTTCGCCCATTTTTGGAGGGCCTGGCTGGGGACGGGGTGACAGTACGGTGGGCACAGGGTTCTGAACCTCGGGGGTCCGGGGCTGGGACAGTGGCAGGTGACAGCTGTCTCTGAGGCAGCTCTGGGACGGCCCCCCCTCACTACCGTCTGCCTCACGGCTCTGTGCACAGGACGCCCCCCGTTTGGGCTCCACCAGGCCTGACATGACACACAGTAGCCCGCTTTCCCATTTCACAGAGGAGTTGTCGAAAGGTCAGAGCTCAAGCAGTTCGCCCAGAGTCACAGTTTTCGTGAACTGGCACCCGGGTCTGCCCACCCCCACCCCCAACTCCAGGGCTCCTTCCAGAATGAGCCTGCTGGCCTCCCTTGATGGTAACTGACGACCAAGCGTCGCCTGTGGCCAGGAGTGACCCCAGCAGGTGTGGCTGCCACCGGGCTCGAGGAACTCGTGCTAACCAAAGCAAACGGACTGCAAGGGCCTCGTTTTCACAGGGCGCAGTGGATCTGAGCTGTGTCCAGGGACCCAAGGACTGGCCTCGGGAGTTAACGCACGCGTCCACCTGGGAGCCCGGAGCCTTTCACCACCTGCTATGTTAGGCCGCCCTGTAAGATAGCGTTTGCTCCAACGCTGGACAATAAAGCCAAAAAACTAAGACATTGCCATGTTGAAGGCCTATAAAATCAACCACAGGCACCAGCATGCAGAAGAAAGGCAGAGAAGGAGGGAGGGGGGAAAGAGACACGGGACCCGTTCTCTGCACTGCCATGGTTGAGGGTCATTCCGGGTGTGAAGCGTGGTACCTTTAGCACGGCCGGGTCCATGCCTGGAAACACGGGCATCCTCTGGGGATGGCCGGTGGGGGTCCTCTCGGCCCTGTGTGGCTTCTCCTCCTCATCGGACTCTTCCCTCCTGGGCGATTTCTCTTCTGTTGCAAAGAAAAGAGCACGAGGTCATTGGCGGCCAGCGGGTCCCCCGCACACCGTCCCTCACGTGGTCCTCATACCGGCCCTGTACGGAATGGATCACTGGCCCAGTTTACAGACGAGGACAAACTCAGGTGCCTCATCAGTGGCAATACAGTACGATGGGTGCTCTCCTGGGAGAAGGGACAGTCAGACCCACCTCCGGGCTCCCAGCTCCTTCCAAGTCAAGGAGAGAGAAGGAAGTCCTTGGCGGAGAAAAGGACACAGAAATGCTTTCAGCCAGCAATGCGTGCGGCCCGTGCTCTTAAAAGACGGGGTTGGGGGCTTCGTGTGTCTTGTGGGAGGCCCGCTCAGAGCTGGACCAGGAAGCTGCTTCCTTTAGCCCAAGCCCCCTTTTCAGGGACTTAACTGCATGGCCATGCTGCAGCCTCGTAGGAGACACTTTCGGGGGTGCGGACTGTTTGTCCCCACTCCTCCAGGAGTCAGGAGCGAGGGGCTTTAGCCTCCCGGGGGGGGCCCTGGCACGGGCTTGGAAGCAGTGAGGGGTGTAGGGAGGGGCTGGGGGGGAACGAGGCAAGGTCTGCTGCTCTGGACCCCCCAGGCCATGCAGGGAGCTGGGGTGGGCTCAGAAGGCATACCCCCAGGCCTCCCCAGCCCCAGGCTGGCTCCTCAAGGCTGCTGGGAACCAGAAGGATGCTGCCATGTTCCAGCTGGGGGTACTGGTGTGCTTCTGTCCCCACACTGTTGTTGGGTTTTTTGTTAATGTTAATTTATTTTGAGAGAGAGAGAGAGAGAGAGAGAGAGAGAGAGAGAGAGAGTACATGAGTCGGGGAGGGGCAGAGAGAGAGAGGGCACAGAGCCTGATGCAGGGCTTGATCTCACGGACTGAACCGTGAGATCAGGATCTGAGCTGAACTCGAGAGTCGGATGCTTAATGGACTGAGTCCCCCAGGTGCCCCTCCCACATTGGTTTTTATTTGCTCCAGGCAGCTCGGTGGAGTTTGGCTCAGAAAACCCAGGAAAGTGTGCAGAGAGAAGTCTTACACCCCACTGTTGGCCATGGGTGAACCCCAAGAGGACGAAGGCCCTGCAATGGCGTGGGTGGGACTAACTGCTGTGTATGTGTAGACTGGGGGGGGGGGGGTGTCACCTGCTATGGTTTCCATTATAAGAAGAGATTTTGCTTCTTCATGCACCTCCATGGCTCCCCAGCCACAAAGTCGAACTCCTTAGCAAGGAATCACGACTGTCCATGAGCTGGCCTCTGCCCACCTCTCTGGCACGATCCCTGCTATTCCCGGCTTGAGCCACCCCAAACCACCTAGGCCCCCGACACACACACAGATGTTCTTTCTACACACCTGCCCCTTTGATCCCATTGATAGTTTTGTCTGGAATACCCTTCCCTGGCTAATTCCTGTTGGCTCCTTAAGATTCAATTCAAAGGATTCAACCAAAGAAGTCCTCAGAGGAAAATGTGTAGCCTTAAATAACTTGCTACAGGGGCGCCTGGGTGGCTCAGTCAGTTAAGCGGCTGACTTTGGCTCAGGTCATGATCTCACGATTTGTGGGTTCGAGCCCCGCATTGGGCTCTGTGCTGGCAGCTCAGAGCCTGGAGCCTGCTTTGGATTCTGTGTCTCCTTCTCTCTCTGCCCCTCCCCTGCTCACACTCTGTCTCTCTCTCTCAAAATAAATAATAAACATTAAAAATAGTAATTATAATTTATTAGAAACAAAAATGGCAGATGATAAATAGAACTGATGTTCCAACTCGAGAATCTGGGCTCAGACCAGCAAACAAATGGAAAGAAGTCTGAGTAAATTTAATAACGGTAAAGGCAGAAACAGTAAAATCCTATTAAGTTGTGCCTCTGTCCTTTGCAACCTGTGCAGCCCCAAATTCATAGGTCATCCTGACAAAAGCCTTTTTCACCTGGTTTCTAATAAGGTCTGTAGAGTGAGAGAGCACAGTTTCCTCTGTAACTGTGTTCTAATATCCTACAACCGATAAGGGCAGGAAGTTCTGCTCAGTGTCTAACCCAAATCCATCCTGCTGTTCAGCATGGTATCTGGGCAGAAAGGGGTGCATGGCATACCCGTTGAGTCCTTGAACATCCACGCATTGTCAGCCTCGTCCTCCAAAGGAGACCTGCTCTCCGACTCGCTGACTCGGCTGCGCCGGAGGGCGTGGGAGATGGGGGCCCGGCGGCGGCTTCTCTTGCTGAGCTGCACCCGGGTCTTGAGGGCACTTGAGTCGAGGACTGAGGTTTGCTTTGGGAGCAGCAGGGAGGGGGAAGGAGAAAAGCACGGGGACCATTAACTGAGGGCACCACCCGCGGGAGGCGTGCGTAGCTTCCCTGATGCCCGAGATGCTGTTTAGGTGGTATGTGGGCCACCTGAGCCCGGGAGCCTAAATCTCTCTGCGAAACATACCATGTAGGCTGGTCACAAGAATCCAATGAAGGCGGAACGCCCTAGCACGGAGCCAGCCACCTGGTGGACAGGAATGCAAGTGCCCTTCCCCTCCGCGTGACACCTCGGGAGCAGGTAAGCTAGAGCAGCGCTTCGTATAGAGCAGGAGCCTGATGTGTGTTTGTTGGCTGGTTGAACGAATAGCCGAATACATCATCTCACCGAATCCTTGTAGGAACCTTGTCCGCGCAGGGCCCATGAGCTGAGGCACTCTCTGCGTGGTCCCCCCTTTGCTCACGATAATTCAGGGCACAGGTAGGGGCGGGCAGGGCAACGCGCCTGCACCAAGCACTCGTCTGCAAGCGTCACGCTCCGAGTGGTGGCAGGCAGACGGTCAGTGATGCTTTCCGAGCTCATCACCTCCCACGGTGCGAGGGCCGGGGATGCAGACCACCCAGGTAGGCCCAGCATAGAGGACGGGCGGTCACTCATTCGGGGATCGCCCGGGGGGGATGGTGGTGAAGCACTCAGAGCTCTGTGCTCAAGCCCCACTCGGTTCAAAGCTTAGCTGTGGGACCTCGAGCGGCGGACTTCACCTCTCTGAGCCTGGGTGTCCCTCTTGGTAAAAAGGGGACCCCAATCATATCCGCTTCCTCTGGGAAGCTGGGAGAATTCGGTGAGCCCAGGTATGGAAAGCCCTGCTTTCACACAGGGTCTGAAAGGCTCCCACAGGCAAGAGCTGTTACCGGCCAGCTCGCGTGCTTGCCTGCAATGTTGGTCTCTCCCTCTCAGGTCTACCTTGGAGAAATTCCATCACCCAAGGCCTTGCTGGACAAGCGATGACGGGCTAATTTCAGTGAGTCATTTCCCAGTTGGGAAGCGGCACACACCACACCGGGGACAGGAGGAGGGAGCTAATGTTTGTGCACCTGCCTCTCAAATTGGTCACAATGGCGTCCAGCGGTGGGACCTGATGGGACTGGGGCAAGAAGGGGAGACACGACTCAGAGGCAGTGGGGGCGGGGGAACTACCGAGAGGGGTGGCTGCTTGTGATTTCCCAGGGCTGCTCTTGCAGCCACAGGCTGGGGCTGTGGGTCTGGATACCTTAGTGTCGCACCTTCCCTTTCAACCTCCAAACAGCCCCCACGGGAGACCCGAATCGTGGTGGGCAGTTCATGGAGACCTCAGTGTGCGTTCAGCCAGCTGCTGGACCCGTGCTCGGGGACACCCGCATCTGAGCCACCCAGTGGCCACTTTCGTTCCCTAAGCTGCAAAATGGGGCAGGCATTTTTGCCTCTTGGGGTTACTGACATGTAAGCAGTCCAGGGACTGACACTCAGGGACCAGTGGCCGCTGACGTTGCTGTTGATATTTATAATGGCCACTGAGAAAGAATTGCTTAGGGTTCTAGAAGGTTAAATCCAGAGGATTAGGTCACGGTGACATCATACGAGCACGGAAGCTACAGCAATGCTTGGCGCATAGCTTGAGCTCAGTTAAGTGTTTGTCGAATGAATAACTGAATATATCGCCTAACTCAAACCTTAGTCCATGTTTATATCGGGGGTGGCCCAATGGAGACCGAACTTGTGTCTTTCCCGTCTCTGCCCTTCCTTACCCAGAGGTGCCATCGAGAGACCCGGACCATACTTAGGAGGGGGCGCTCCCTCTGAGGACCCAGAGGGAGACCTTTCTCCTCAAGCAGCAGTGCTCCTTCTCTGGGGAGAATCCGGGCCGCCATCCCTGAGAGTATAGGCCAAGACGGCGGCTTGCCTTTACATTTTGCATCATTTAGATGATGCATCCACAGGAGGGTGGGCAGGGGATGGCCCTAATGTCAGAGAAGGATTGAAAAGGAAGATGTCCCTGACCCCTGCAGGGGGGCAGCTCCTGCGGGAGGGAAGAGTACAGACGCTGGTCCGGAAGGGGCTGGAGCAGGATGCTTCTGGGCCTGGGTGGCTGGCATCCAGGAGGCTGGGGACCCACATAAGGGCTGTCTGTGCCGGGGGGCGGGGGGCGGGGGGAGGGGTGGCTCTGCTTCCTGGAACTGCTATTATGCATTTCTAGAGAGACCGGGATCCCCGGGACCAGAGACACCTCGCACCAAGCCAGACCTCGGCGTGGACACCCAGCAGGATGGGTCTGAGCAAACTCCAGACTCGGCATGCCGGGAATGGCGAACTCAGGCAGACCCCCCTCAGACGTCCTGCTGACCTAGCAGGTACGGGCTACGATCGGTTTTAACGTGAACACACGCGATCACATTTGAGGTCATGGAGCCCATCGTGCTGGTTATCAGCGGATGAGGAAGCCAAGGCTCCGAGAGGTGAAGACATTTGCGGGCATACGGTAGGTCCCAGCTACAGGCAGACATCGGTCCCATCTCAAAGACTGTGCCCTCTGCACCTGCCACGGGGGGGGGGTGGGGGGTGGGGGGGGCGCGGGCACACAGATTCTACCCCCGGGAGGGGCAACTGGCTGGGAGATGGTGGAGCAACCCTTTCAGAAGGAACGACTCTTCCCGATGCACGTTCCCACTTCCTGACTCACATCAATGAAGGAGAAGTCGTCCACGCTCTTCGCAGGGCAAGCGTCCGGCGGGGGCAGCCCCTCCGTCCCATCGGTGGATTCCAGGTCAGTGCTGGATTGGTCCACGCTGGTGCTCCGCTGGTCCCTGGAGCCGCTGTGCTGGTCCCCGGCCGAGGTGGCCTCCGTCTGGGAGGACAGGGAGGACAGGCGGCTGCCGGGCAACTGTTTCCGCACCGACACGGCACTGCTGTCTGGGGACGGGGACTCGGGAGCCAGACTACAAAAAAGGAGGGAAGGCAGATATGATTGTGCAGGTGGTTTCAGAGAACTGAAGTGCGAGCAAAGGAAGCGGCAGAAAGCAGGTTTGGGGTGTGTTTTATATGCCAGGAAACAAGACCCAGGACATCCCTGTGGGATAACCTTTCTGGGCCCAGCCAGGTGCTGCCCATGATGCCTCCAGAACATTCCACAGGTGTGGAATGGAAGGGGTCAGTCTTGCCCCGCTCAAGACCCTCCGACCCTGTACTGGGCAGGAGTGAGGGAGCCACTGGTTACACGCGGCTACTGGGCCATCCCCATGTGGCACGTGTGAGCCCAGAGTATAAAGTACACGCGGGATTCCCAACACTTTGGATTAAAAAAAGAGAGAGAGAGAGAGAATGTAAAATACTGATTACACGTTGAAATGATAACATCTCAGATCTGGATTCAATAAAACGGTGTTATTTAAGTTGAGTTGTCAAGATTAATTTCCACCTGGTTTCTTTCTTACTCTTTTGACGTGGCTACGAGAATATCTTAAGTTACCCACACCTCACCTTTGCGGCTCGAGCTGTATTTCTGTTGGACAAGCACTGATGTCAATAAAAAAAAAAAATCGCCAGCAGTCAGTTGAGGAAGAGTGGGAGGTGGGGGAATCTTCCACGTGGCTCTATTCATTCGTTCATTCACTCAGGCATGCATGTGATCAAGATTTACTGAGCACTTACTCTGTGCCAGGCACTATGCTAAAAACTGAGTCCCTGAATCCTCTTCCCAATCCTGTGAGGGTCACCCTCTGATCTTGAAGCCACCACAAGGCCATCAGGTGGGATTCGCCTCAGGAAATTAAATATTGATCCCACTAAAGATGAGGAAACCGAGGCACAGAGATGTGAAGTAGCTGGCCCAAAGGGCCAGAACGCACTCTGGAATCCATGCCCTTGACCCTTCTCCGACTTCCGGAACGTCTGCCCGTGGCAATGTATTTAAGTATGGCTTGGATAACCGGGACCACATAAGATAGGAATTTATAAATCACTTAAGCCAAAAAAATTAAGCCATTAAATTAAAAAGGCTCCCCCCTCCCATTAAAAAGACACCAAAGTCAAGGGCATGGGAGAGCTATCCGGGAGGAAGGGCAGTCAGGCACCCAGACACCATCACTGATAGAAGGGGTCCGCAGCCCTAGAAGCTGCCCGAGCTACACCCCTGAGCAGAACCTCCGACCCAGGTGTACTGGTGGTTGACCCCGGGGGGCACAGCCATGCTCTGTCAGCCCTGGGATGATGTTACTCCTCGGAAGGGGCAGGATGTTGGGGTATGGGTGGGACTGAACCAAGTCCCCGAACCATGAGGGAAATACCACCAAGGAGGCAGCAGATGGCGCCATTGCCCAGGGCTGGGGGCACAGCGGCTGCTGGTCCGGCCAGGGAGAGGGCGCTGCAGTGCCTCTGGGGAACAGAAGGGGGCGTCCACCCACAGGAGAGGTCCCAGGTCCCCCAGGCCGGGACTCACCTGGCCTTAGGTTCTGGGGGTAACAGAGGCCCAGGGAGCGTGAGAGACGCAAGAGGGAGACGCAGCCTTCTGCGTCCCAAGGGTTCTTGCAGGAAATTTAAGTTAAGTCTAGTGACAGGTAGGTAGGCTCATTAACAAAACACATTTCAAGGGTTAGGGGAGAAAAGGCTTTCACAGGAGCTTTAAGAAACCTTTGCTTCCCTTTTTCGTCTTCGTACCCATTCTTTTTTTTTTAATGTTTATTTATTTATTTTGTGAGAAAGAGAGCATGGGGGAGGGGCAGAGAGAGAGGGAGAGAGAATCCCAAGCAGGTTCTGAGCTGTCAGCACAGAGCCCGACTCGGGGCTCAAACTCACAAACCGTGAGATCACGACCTGAGCTGAAGTCGGCTGCTTAACCGACTAAGCCACCAGGCGCCCCCCCCCCCCCACCCTGCCGCCATATACCCATTTTTACTTCCATCCACCTCCACCCAACTTTTATATCGAGAGCTGTGGGACGTTACCCAGTAGAGGGTTGTGACCACCTCCCAGCTGAGAAGGCGGGGGAAGCAGGTGGGAGACCTGGGGCTCAGTCCACCCCAGCCCCGGACATGCCACCCACAGGCGAGAAAACTGAGTCGTGACCCAGCTGGCAAGGGGCCATGCCGCAGTCAAACCCAGGTCTCTCTGACTTTAAAAGACCACGCGGCCCTCACTGTGGTCACATGACCACGTGATCCTGGGGCCCCCGGCTAGGGAAGACATGAGCTGAGAACACGGCCTCGTCCACCCCAGATGTCCCACCCAAGGCAGAGAAGAAATATCGTATCTTTAAAACCACAAACAGGTGCAGTGAACAGGTACTCCTACTATGTGCCAGGAAATCTGCTGATGGCCGTACAGATTCCCCTCCCAGCCACCCCCTGTGATGGGTTGCCTCAGCCTTGGCCTCCACAAGACAGGGCGACAGGATTAGATGTTAACACCTTCACGTGCTTACAACAGTGCTTGGCTCAATAAACTCAGCCAGAGTCCCACAGCCAGCGAGAGTAGAGCTAGAACTCAGAGGTGCCTGCCTCTTGTATCCAGGCTGTTCTTGATAACCTGAAGCCTTCTGCCACAGTCAAAACCAGGCAGACCTCTGAGGGCCCTCCAAGCCATTAACTGGGGCGATATTCTCTCTCTCAAAAAATAAACATACTAAAAAATTTTTTCGTATATAAAGGGGGTGCATGGGTGGCTCAGTCAGGTAAGCGTCCTGACTCTTGATTTCGGCTCAGCTCATGATCTCATGGTTCATGAGTTTGAGCCCTGCATCAGGCTCTGCACTGCTTGGGATTCTCTCTTCCTCTCTCTCTGCCCCTCCCCTGCTCGCTCTCTCTCTCTCTCTCTCTCTCTCTCTCTCTCAAAAAATAAATAAACTAAAAAAAAGTTTAACTGGGGTGATATTAAATGCAGACATAGCTAATAAGGCAACATGTATAGTACGTTGCTAGATTTGTAAACATATCCAGATATGGTGGAAAAAGTCTAGACAGACATCTAACAAAAAACACCGATGCCCTCATTAATGATCTGTGTGCTGGGATGATAGGTGTTTTTCATTTTCTTCGTAATTTCTTTCACTGTGGTAAAACACACATAACATAACATTTTCCATCAGTGACATTTAGCACACTGTGCAACCATCACCACGATGTAATTCGAGAACTTCTTCGTTCCCCCAAAAGGAAGCCTGCTACTTGTTAATGTCAGCCCCTACCTACCTACCTACCCCCAGCCCCTGGCAACTAACCTACTTTCCATCTCCAAGGACTTACCTAATCTGGACATTTCATACATTATTTTAAGATGATTTGTATGTTCTGGGGCGCCTGGGTGGCTCAGTCGGTTGAGCGTCCGACTTCGGCTCAGGTCATGATCTCACCGTGAGTTCAAGCCCCACGTCGGGCTCTCAGCTGACAGCTCAGAGCCTGGAGCCTGCTTGGGATCCTGTGTCTCCCTCTGTCTCTGCCCCTCCCCTGCTCGCGCTCTGTCTCTCTCTTTCTCAAAATTAAAAATTTGAAAAAACAAATGAAATAAAATAATTTGTACTTTCTAAATTTTCTTTTTTACAACAAGAATGGATTACTCTCGTACTTACGCACCAAACAGGTTCTAGTTATATAGAAATGAGGGGGGCAGGTGGGCCACACTGCCATCCAGGGGCCCCACCTTGCATCCAGAAGCCCTGGGACGCCCTACCTCTCCCCGCTCTGGCGCTGGTCTGTCCACGTCCCATACTGGCTGTCGGCTTCCTGCACGAGGGTGTCGGTGTCCTTGGCTTCGGGGGGCCGCCTGGAGAAACACTGCTTCAGTTGGTCCTGTGGGGACAAGCCAGAGGGGAGATTTCTATCAGGGGAAAATGCTCAGAACCTGGTCCCCAGCTGACACAGATCACATGGCATTGCCCCTGACTCAAACCCGCCCCAGCTCCCGACTGTGCTCAGCGACGGGTCCAAATGTCTGGGGTGGGCATTGGGGCGAACAACTGCGCCAATGTGCCCGAGGCATCACAGGATGCAGGAGCGTCGGTGCTGAAGGCAAGCAAGCATCTCAGTTGGTGCTGAGATGAAGGCGTCCCCCTCGCCAGCACGCTGCCCGTCCTTAGGGCACCTCTCCGCCTGGCACTGCAGGCGGGATGATCTTCTCTCCATCTCCAGTCTCCCAGGACTTGTCCACCTGGTAGGGATGCTCCCTCACCCGTCCCCCGCCCCAGGTTCCCACGGCCACCGGCTTCCCATCTGCATCATCCAATATGGCATTCGTGGAGCGTTTAACTGTGCCCAGCGGCAATCAAGCTGTGTGCACTTTGTCTCGCTGAACAGCAATCCCATGGTAATCTTTATCACAATCCCTGTTTTGCAGATGGGAACACGGAGGCTCAGGCCGGTCGAGTGACAGGTCCCAAATCAAACAGCCTGTGCACGGTGAAGTGGAACCCAAACCCGGGCAGGAGGCTGGGACCCCACATCCAAACGGATAACCACGGCATCCCAGGCAGCCTGGATCACTGGGTATTCACTACCTACCCAGTTGCTATCTCTGCCCTCGGCCGGGGCGCTTGGAAGGAGTGCTGGCACATGGTGGGCAGTCCGTAGACCTCCACTAAGTGACTGAACTGCTGGCTTCCCCCACCTTATTCACTTTGGCAAGTTAAAAGCCCCTTCCCTGCTCAACAACCTTCGGTGGCTCCCTAGTGCCCTCCAGCTGAAATCCCAACACGCCTTGTAATGGAGCCCCAAATTTCCTCTCCAGTGTGCCATCTCCTGTCCCAAACAAACCCTTCCTCCCACCCTCCCGGACCTCCCCACTGAGTCCCACACAAGCCTCCCACATCCCAGCCTCTGTGGTTTTGCTTGCGCCCCTCCTTCTTCCTCCCATCCTCCTCAGCCAAAGCCATTGCAACCCACGGCGATCTCTCCTCCTGCCGAACCCTTCCTGCCCATGCTGGGCTCACTGTGGTACCAGCTAAAGTTTGACATAGAAGGTATCTCCTCAAGAGGTATTTACTGAGCGCCTACCATGTGCCAGGCACCAGGGAACCGGGGGTGGGGGATCGCAGCACAGCAGACACAACCCCTGAGGTTCTGTGACCCAGCCGATGTGCTCTTCAAGGTCAAGATGCTCTATCATCTTAGTTTACACGCTAGGCTTTTCCGCGGCTTCTGCGGAACCGTCCTTGGCTGAACAAGCTTATAGGGTCCAGGAGAACGAACACAGGCCCGGGGAAATGCTTATTAGCTGTATGACCTCAGGGTTTTCACTTGGGGCCCAGAGAAGCTACAAGGGTCCAGTGAGGACACGGTCGCCAGGCTAAGGGCACGGATGCCAAGGACAGGACCCATGTGACGGCTCCTATGCCTACCCCCTTCCCCATTCTCTTCCTGTCAGCTTTTGGGGACACTTGTGTGCCCCACAATGCTCCAGGGGATGCTGTGCGGGGATATATGCAAGAATGGGCATTCAGAAGAAAGCCTCCTGTCACCTCACAGACGGCCACACTCGAAGACCCTGACAACAGCTAATGTCCGAACACCCCCAACACCACTGCCTGCAGAACGCTTTTCTTTGACGAGGTAACAAAATAACACGTGTTTGTTGTAAAACGTTTAGAAATGATAGAAAAGCGCAAAGAGTTAACACCCCTCATCCACTGACAACCTTCTGGCATAGTCCCATCCAGAACTTTCCCTGGGCCAATTCATCGACATCCTTATCTTTTTTCTTTCTTTTTTTTTTTTTTACGTTTATTTGTTTATTGAGAGAGAGAGAGAGAGAGAGTGTGTGTGTGCGTGTATGGGAGGAGCAGAAAGAGAGAGAGAGAGAGAGAGAGAATCCCAAGCAGGCTCTGCACTGTCAGCACAGAGCCCGACGGGTGGGGGTGGGGGTGGGGGGCTCGATCCCACGAACTGCAAGACCATGATGGAGGCAAATTCAAGGGTCGGACGCTTAACCACCTGAGCCACCCAGGCGCCCATCCACGCCTCATCTTTAATGGCTGAAGATCCCACTGGATGCACTCAGCACCGTTCGTTCATTTAACCAATCCCCAAGTGTTGGGCATTTAGGTTGCTGAACATTTCTCCCTGTTATAATCAACAACATGACGAACGTCCTCGAGGCTACGGTGACACATGTCTGTGATTATTCCCACGGAAGAGACTCCTAAGTTTAGAATCACCAGGTCAAGGGGTGGCATATTTTTAAGGCTTTGGCTTCTGATGAGCGAGCCAGTCTTGGGACAGTCTGCCCAATCTCCAGGCCCATGGGCAGCATGTGGGGGTGGCTGTCCGCACGCTTTAGGGATGAAGTCAGTCCCCGCTCGGGGAAACTGGGGACGTGTTTGCCTTGAGAGATCACCTGACATTCTCAGATGCCCTGGACCCTGAACACAATTCTCCCTGGGGCCCAGGAATGGAAGTCGCCATCTGAGCACATCCCCAGCTGCTCACTGTTTTTCAAAGATGTCACAGAATCAGGCATTCCCTAACTTAATCCCCTACACGGGTCAGATGCAGAAGCCAGAGGCTGGGGCCTTAGGGGGTTGCTGCCGGTGGCCTCGGCGTCGCTGTCCTGAGCACTTTGCAGACAGCTGCACGCTGGATACGGGGCAGCGTGTGCCAAGCGTGGTGGGAGGCAGAGGGGTGACGGCTCTGTGTCACAGCTCAGGCAGAAGGGGGGTGCTGCTGTCTCCGCTCTGTCTCAGCTGTGTGGCCTGGCCACGTGACGCCACCCTTTCAAGCCTCAGTTTCCCCATTAGAAAAACGGGGGTTGTTTTGTGGCTTCAAGGACATAATCTCCGGAAATCACCAAGCTGAGGGGACAGGAGCTGCAGGTGTTCAGAACCATTTTCATGTCCCTCCCCCGGAAGGACGGGGGTCTTTCATTGCTCAGGGGTGGAGAAGGGAGGTGGAGGTGGGGCCTTTGGAAATCAGAACGGCCGGGTGGGTAAGATGCCGAGGGTGGAATCAGGGCAGGAGAGGGGGGCTGGATGTCAATGGCGTTCAGCAACGACACGTAGGTCTCCATCCATCCCGGTCTGTGGGCCCCCCTGAAGGGATTTAGGATTTACACTCAGGGATGTGGAATCACCACAGGCAGGAATACACGCTTTCTCCCTGCACCGCCTAATGCCAGACTCGAGATTCCCCAGGGCAGCACCCCTGACTCCTCTCTCCCTCACTCCCACCATCAAATCAACACCCAGTCCTTCAAAGTCTCCTTCCAGAACATTCTGTCCGGCCTTGGCCAGCTCCAGGGTCTCCCTGCCTCCCTCACCTCTGGCTCCTCCCATTGTACTTACAAAACCATAATCTGGGCCCGCAAGGTCCCTGCCAAAGCCCTTTCATCGCCCACATCCGTCAGGCTCAAGTTCAAACTCCTCAAAGTGGCTTGTGGGATCATCATTACTTGGGCTCCTTCCCCACCATCTCCTGCCCATCCTGGGCCCTCCCACTGGCTGCTCTCCCCTCATGTGCCCCCGGCTACACTCTCTCTCACCTCCAGACCCACTGGAGCAGCCACCGCCTCCCAGCTAACCTTCAGATTTCAACTTTGAGGGCTCTTCCTCCAGGAAGCCTTCCCTGAACTCACCCCTACCAAGGCTGGCTCAGAAGCCCCACGGCTCTCACCATGCCCTAGATCTCAAGTCTCTATATCTGTGCTGGGCAATACATAACATAGCTGCTAGCCACATGTGGCTATTTAAATTTAACGTAAATTTGTTAAAATGAAAAAATACAAAGGATTCAGTTCCTCGGTGGCACCAGCCACATTTCAAGGGCTCCATGGCCACATGTGGCTACCATGTTGACCAGCACGGATACAGAACGTTTCCATCACTGCAGAAAGTTCTAGTGGACGGCACTGCTGTAGAACTTCCCACAGTGTAATAATTAGAATTGACCTCTTTTCAGTCTCCCTTGGACGTGTCCTGCTTCTGGAGCCAGAATGTGTGGATTCATTACACAGTAGCTGTGTGATCTTGGGCACGCTACGTAACCTCTCTGTGCCTCGCTGTCTGGACCAAAGAGCAAACGTTACATATTTGGTGGAATGCCATCACAGTCACCACTCTTCAAATTTTTTTTTTTCCAACGTTTTATTTATTTTTGGGACAGAGAGAGACAATGAACGGGGGAGGGGCAGAGAGAGAGGGAGACACAGAATCGGAAACAGGCTCCGGGCTCCGAGCCATCAGCCCAGAGCCCGACGCGGGGCTCGAACTCACGGACCGTGAGATCGTGACCTGGCTGAAGTCGGATGCTTAACCGACTGCACCACCCAGGCGCCCCACAGTCACCACTCTTCAACACAGACCCCCAAGTTTGGAGTAACTCAGGGGGTAGGATTATCTAGGGGGATTCATCTTGTAAATGAGGCTTAAGAAAGCGAGCTGTTTATCAGCACTTTCTCCAATGAGTATCCTGGGAACCTTGCATGCACTGCAAATTATTCATGGCTCCTCCCTCTGGCAGACCCTCACTCAAATCAAGTGAGGCCTGAGCTTTGCTCCCCGGGTTGCGAGGCCTCGAGATCAACCACCAAAAGGCCCCAAAACTCTAATAAAAACTTTCCCAAAGTCAGACTTTTAATTAGCTTTAAGGCAGGATATTCTTCCAATTCAGGCCTGCCTCACCAGGCTGCTACAAAAACCCTCACCGTCCACAGGCAAGTAGATGCCGACAGTACACATGACAAACTAACGAATGACACACGTGTGTCCCAGTGAGTCCCCCGTCTGGAACACGTGCCAGTCTTTTCTGACGTGCGTCCCCGATGGACAGCCACCCGATGCCCACAGCCGCATTTCAGTTGTCAT